CTGAAAGATAGCATGACTAACAAATAAGGATGAGAAGTTCTATAAAAAGTGAAAAACGAAAATGGTGATAGAAATATCAGTAGTGGAAAGAAGACGGAAGAGAAATAAAAACGAGGAAAGGCATCAGACAGAAGAAAACAACAGGAGGGGCAAGAAAAGGGATAATAACAAACAGGGGAAAGAATCTGACAGTGATAGAGGTGAAAGAGAACAGGCTAGAGTAAGAATTCTTTTTGCCTACTTGAGTCGAAGAGGGGAAACTTTATTTGAACTAATAATAGCGTATATTCAGTGTTGTCTCTCGTACCGGTAGCAATTTGCCCCAAGGCTTGTTTGAGGTTGACGATTCGCAGCTACAATAATACTCCTCTCGCGAATAAAGATAAGGAGAGGCTGCACGGACCAAATAAGAAGCGTTCGTTCGCTTTAATCTGTCTATCGTAGAATGCATAGTAGTGGTATAAAGTTCTTATCACAAAAGATAAAAGAAAACACAATATGTAAATTAGGATGACTCTAAGCTATAGGTAATTTTCCGAAACTAAAAATTTGCTCCTATCCCTCAATCCTGTTTCAACGAACGAAAAAACGGGTTGTGCAAACTTCAACTCGGGGCAACTGTTGGGTGACCCTCAAACGCCTTGTAGTTGAAACATAATACAGTAATGTCTTCCTAACTGACGCTCAGGTTGTGCACAAAAATGGACAATTTGGGAAGAGGAGATACGATTATTCGCGCCGTGCAGCTCGTTTTTGTAGTTCTTGACAATTCGTAACTATAAAAACGAACCGGAAGGCTCGAATAATCGTATTTCCTCTTTCCAAACCGTCCATTTCTGTGGACAATCTGAGCATCAATTAAAGAGACATTACTGTAGTATACGCAATGATTAATTTCGTCCGAAAGCGTTATACTCTTTCCTATCTTCACCATTTTCTTTTTTCTTCTTAGAGAAATTTATATGGACAGGCAATCCCAGCATTTGATTAAAAACATTCTGAATCAAATTTTCCAGAAGTTAATTCGAAAAATTCCTGAAATAACATGGAAAATATAAGAAATATTGGTTTTTTTCAATAACGCACACAACTTCTATAAGAGAAACGCATTTTCATTTACAGTCATTTCTATAGAATAAAAACATAATATGAACGAACGAACATTGAACATTATCTTTTTCTTAGAGAGAATTTAGTAGCAGTTGGGTATTATTACGGTCATCGGCAACGATCTGTAAAACATATTGTTTCTCAGTTTCATCTTTTGTGAGACTGAGTTTCGACATCTTTTTCTGCAACGTCATTCACAACAACTGTCTTCTCAAGTTTTTCAATTCCACTTTTGTAATCAGGATCATCCTTCCAAAATCTCGCGAAGAAAGTTTTTATAGCAGGAATTACAAAAGATAAAAACTCGATGTTTGTAAAGGAAGAAAAATCATTTTATACAGAATGTATTTCTTCAGTTGATTTTCTTCTTCCTCTTCTTCACTTTTGTCTGCTTCTAGCATAACTTGAACCATGTTTGTCTTAACGGATGTTGGAACATTGGCATCAAATAAGGATAAAGCCGCAGTTTTGAGAACTAGGTACCAGAGATATTTAGAAAATTTTTTCGCAACAGCCTTACTGATTTCTGGATCAATATCCTGATAATTTATTAATTGACGCATGAATAAGAAATCATGACGAGGTGCTTTAATTGCTTCTGATGACAGAAATCAGACTCGAACATGCACTCGAGCAAGAAAAACATATATGTATTCTTCTTAAAGAGTTCTTCTCTCTATGAGATAACTGAAATTGATTTGGAAACAGGTATATCTTGAATGCATAAATTTCCTTTGTGATCTACCTAGCACGACTTAGATCTCCTGGTATACGAAACGATATCCCGTTCTTCGGAATGCCGTCAAGAAAGGTAATCGCTAGCTCCAACAATTCTCGGTAATCATCTCGCTCTTGTTTCTGCATAGAGAAGTGATATTCAAGAAATTCAAGAATAGTAGAGCGGACATTATCAGGCACTTCATTGCTATCAGTTATGTAAATCTTTTAGTCGAGTTTCGTCCAGGTTTCTCTAAATCTTTTAAAAAGCGCCATGTCTGGACCAGAAGTTGCACTCATCAGTGAGTCGAAACAGCCCCTCAAAACTAACTCAAAAATGTGATGACAGCAAGGGAGATACAAGTCACGATTGAACAATTTTTCTATATTTGTACAGGCTCCATTTACTCGATCTATGTTGCTTGCTGCCGTATCACAGCAAAGTGTCTGAATTTGGTCGGTTATATCCCATTTCTCCATTGTTTGGTGAACAGCCATGGCTTACTCTTGTCCTTAAGATTTCAGGGAATCCCAACAATTACCCCTTGCCTTGAAAAGTTACTATTATTGCCAGTTTTCAAAACCTGTGAATGCTGGAAACAACCAGGCGAAAAATTTCAAAATATCATGATCGATGAGGGTCGCTACGCAGTTGTCCGATTGAGCTAAAATTTTGCACATATCATTTTTTTGTTGTTGATTAAAACAAGGTAGGCGGTAGGAGCTAAACTTTTAGAAAGTTGAGAGATAAGGATCACACTAATGTAAATACAGCAAGCCTCCATTTTCAATTTGGAATGAAATTACCGATTTTATCATCGGTGCGTTTTTCCACAAGAACAGTTGGTTAACACCATGCGTACTCTTTATCTTTTTAACGAATACTACATATTATAAAGATTAAACTGACTTCGAATTTTCGAATCAAATTCAGTTTTTCGGAAAATTTTATCAACAAATTTCCACCAAATGAAGGGTTGCTGAGATCATTTTAAATAACTTTTTTTTTAGCGAAAATGCAATCTGCGGCTTTCTTTACGAGTTATTAACAAAAAGCACTGACCAATGAGAGACGAACGCGCGAACTACAACATGGTAGATCGTTCGAGCGCAACGTGCTCCGACCGCGGAGCTTGACAGAAGAAGGGGGGCTCCGTGCCGCGTTCGAATCAATGAACAAGTCACGGAGCGTGAACATTCCGATTTTTTTTACCACGTGACAGTGATAATTTTAAGAAAAACGCTGTCCGTCCTTATTTCAGAATGTCTGAAGAATATTTACTAATTTTTCGGACCCGAAATAAAAGTAGTTTAACCGTGATAGCCGTTTAAATTTTCTTAAGTGCATGACACTTTACATGTCGATTCACAAAGCTAATTTAATAATAAATAATCGCGTTAAAGAATATGCAGAATATGTTTGTTTAAGAATTGTAAAGAATATCATTATGGTGCACTGACCTCGGATAACACAAAGTTTACTTTCATTGCACATTTGCATCCAGTTAATTAATCACTGATAATCCAAAATCGTAGAGGTATTCTATGGAAGGAGGGAAGTTTGAATTGTTTGATTCTGCGCTAAAATGGAGTGACCCCGAAAAGGGCCGATAAAATCATTAAAATCTTCTATTGCCATGGTCATCGGCCCTTTTCAGGGCCACACCAATTTAACGGAGAATCAAACAATTCGATATCCTCCCCTCCATCCATAGGATACCTCTACGATTTTGGATTATCAGTGTTTCGGACTATCAGTGATTAATCAGTCAGAGTTTGGTGACAATGCAATGAAAGTGAACTTTGTGTTAGCCGAGGTCAGTGCACCAACATCGTGACTCACAATTTCAAACAGCAAATGCATCTTCAACTGAATGGGTGAGTTTACTGTTAATGATATTCTTTACAATTCTTAAACAAACATATTCTGCATATTCTTTAACGCGATTATTTATTATTAAATTAAATTCGCGTTGCGAATCGACACGTGAAGTGTCATGCAGTAAAAAAATTTAAACGGCTGCACGATTATTTCGGGTTCGAAAAATTGGTCCGCCTCTCCTTGGTCAGTGTTTTTCGTTAATAACTCGTAAACAAAGCCCCAGATTGCATTTTTGCTCAGAAAAAAGTTATTTCAAATGGCCTCAGCTACCCCCTTATTTTCGTATTGCGATACATTTTTGGAACACCCTGTATACTGTACATTGTACAAACATGATTGAAGTTGTACTTATTTTATTGATGTTTCAAAACTACTAATTTTATACGTACAATATACGAACTTTTTTCATAACTGTTGATATTTTAACAACAAATATTAGATTCGATAAAGGAACCCTTTGCGTATCGATAAAAATAAATTCAAATCTCGAGAAACATAATTACAATTTCATGAAACCCCTTTTGTGTACTATGCTACTTTTGTTTACAATGTTCTTTCATTCTATTTGCTCAATTTATAAAGTGATCAGATTAACCCCTTGCACTATTTTCACGAGTCTGACTCGTGATGAAAATGTTAGGCCAAACTTGAATGTCATGAGTCAGACTCGTTATTTAATTTCATGCCAAACGTGGATATCACGAATCAGATTCGTTATCGACATTTCAGGCCAAACATGTATATCTCGAGTCTGGCTAGAGTCTTAATCTTTAGCCAAGGTTATTTTATATATAAATAATATAATAATAATATAATAATATAATAAATAATATAAGTATATATAACATATATAGTATTATAAATAATTTCCGACACTCGGGCTCCGCCGTTCGGTTCCTTTTTCGACCATTCGGGCGCACGGGTTTGGCACGGCTTTTTCCGAGTTTCAGCGTAGTGCAAGGGGTTAAGCAGGCTGATGATATGTGATGCAAAAATATTCTGGTTCAAACCTATCACAGTTACTTCTTCTTCTTGTCTGATCGAATGGAAACACTCGGATAAATATACTAAAAATATTTTTCTTTGAGTGGAGACTTGACATGCGGTAGAGATCATTTCAACAAGATTTTCGCTTTGAACCCAAACGACTGCAAACGTACTACAATATTACTATATTAAAAGCAGTATAATTTTATGTGTTTAACTGTATCTGTATATCTTAAATAATAAGATAATTGTATGTTTATTGTTAAGCGACGAAATCCAATAGTAATTATATTTATACTTTCAGAAAAAGATAGACAAGCGTGGACGGAAGCTTGTAGATTATGATAGCCAGAGACATAACTTCCAAGCACTGCAATGTAATCCAAGGAAACGAGACGAGCTTAAAGTTACTCGAGGAAAGGAATTATTGGAGGAAGCAAAACGTACATATGAACAGTTAAATTCGGAACTTCATGATGAACTGCCTGCCTTATATGATTCTCGTGTTCTTTTCCTCGTTACCAATTTGCAAACTCTATTTGCTGCCGAACAAGTGTTTCATACCGAGAGTGCTAAGGTACGTATAAACGTTCTACTACAACATCTTTCGCAACTGTCATTTTTAACAATTAATGATTTTTATATTTGCATCAGAATTTGTTTAAATCAAAGTTGCGCAACATCAGAAAAACCTAGTAGTCACGTATTATAACTGCAATATTTCGGACATGCACACCATCAGCCAATCCACACTCGCTCCACGTCTGCCTTGTTTCCAATCAGGGATGCCACGGGATGGCATCCCATCGGTTCTTGACACTTTTCCATTCCCCGTCTCGCCTACATGTGTCCCACCAGGCGGTCCGTCTCTTCTCCCACTCTTTGCAGACAGTTGCTCATCTGGGAAGGGTACCCGTACAGATTCCGATTCTCCACGTAGTAAGATGATACGCTTAAAAAGCTGCATCGCGTAGTGGAAAAAAGAACTACGACCACCCGGTAGTCTGGCCAGGTAGTCTCGATAGAAAGAGTGAGGTAGCGAGGGACTGCTTGGCGGGACGGGAAAGAGCAAGGGGTGTGTTATTCATACGTGTATTAATATGATTATTAAATAAAAGAACTTTTGATTTGTTTAATTTTCGTATTATCGCAGTTGGACGGCATTAATTTAGGTATAATTTGTACATTTTATGTTTACAAAAATGTTCAAAGTTTGTTTTGAATAATGAAAATCTTTTGCACTCTAGGTGTATTCCGAATTGGAAGCAATTGTTGATAAATTGGCTAACGAAAGTCAGAGAGGATCGTACACACTGAAGAAAAATACAGAACCACAATCTCCAAAATCGCCCAATGCCAATTCTTCGTAAGTATTTTACTTGGGACTGTTCAAATTATAGAATAAATGAAGAATCAAATTCGTTGTCAATAGAAAATTTTTCAATTATTTATCTTAAGCCAATGAACGGAACTGGGTTTTGTTGGTCACTATTTTTCGTTAATAACTCGTAAACAAAGCCGCGGATTGCGTTTTCACTAAGGAAAAAGTTACTTCAAATGACCACAGGAACCCCTCAATTCCCAATTGCGAGTAACCTTTGAGACATCCTGTATTTCAATTTGTTCCGACATGGTCAATGTGGCATAAAATTGCTGCGGCAGAAAATATTTCGTTACTGTTCTGCACTAGACGGAATTGGGTCTTTTAACTGAACATGCTCAAATCGAAGCAAAGTTAATAAAAGAATTACAATAAAATTAAATAAATATAATTTTTAAACGGACTTATTTTAAATTTCATATCAAATAGAGGACATAAGAATTTTATGTTTATAAAGATTCTAAAACTGAGAATTCTTTTACTTAAATATACCATCAATGATGATATTTTTATATTTCAGTTTAATAATCAACACACAGCCAGCTCAGAACAATATTTCTCCAGGTAAATATATTTATTGTACTTACACCCTTTCCACTTGGGCTTGCGTTTGAGTTATTTGTGTATTGATATTTTGATCAGCATGTATGTAATGTAGATAAGCCACATAAGAAGTTGTTGAGCGCATAGTTATGTGGCTAAATGTTTAGTTTTGAGTGAGCTTTATTGCGTGTTACAGCTGTGGACGACTCAGCTCCAGCACCAAGAAACACCTCACCGACTACCCAATTAAATGGCAATGCTAACAGCAATGCTAACAGCAATGCTAACAGCAATGCTAACAGCAATGCCAACAGCAATGCCAACAGCAATGCCAATAGCAATGATAATTCTCTGAATAATCAGGATGCATCACCACAAAGCACAACCGCCGTCTCCAATCGAGTCAAAGTGCTGTATGATATACCATTTGGTAAGTACAGCATAGGAATAAATGACATTACAGTTGTTCGTATTTATTATAGTATGCACTGTCAAGCATATGTACTACAAAATGGAAGAAAAATGAAAGTATCTTTTTACATTATTCAATATTAGATTTATTTTTCTATAGTATTAAAACTGTACAATTATACAAATTCACTATTTCTTATCATATTGATTTTTGTGGATTTGTGAAAATTACATGAATTGGTGCTAGTCACTCTTGTAATATACAAGAAAAATATTAGTTTAGATCTATCGTAATAATTCAATAAAAGTTTTTTTTATTACTGACAATACGCGCGCGTGGTCTGCAACTTGGAGAAAATTGAGGTTGTGTCATTGATGCCTTCAGAAAACAGAGATTAATAACATCGTTCTTTAAAACTTTGTTACTGAAATATTTTGATGATTTTTTTATACGTGTATTTAATGTACATGTGACTTTTGACATTGAACTAATTGTTACTAAATCGGGGCAGCAAAAACTTAAACTTGGAGACAAGTTCTGCAAGGATAATCCATTTAAAAAACTAAAAACGGTTTCGTTCAAAAATAGCAATGATGACTGTATATGAAGATAATGGTATTTAAAGTAGGAACATAATTATTAGTAATCAAATCAATCTCGGTTTAATCCATTCCTTATTTAGTTATTGGGTACTTATTTGTTACTAATATTAACTGATAAAATTAAGATTCTAGGATCTTTTAGTATAGATTGAAATACATCAATATGTAAATGTAATATTTCAAGATACGCATCTAAGATTACTCTGTTTGAAGTCTGTAGTCTAGTTGCGTCTAACTATCAAGTACTTGCTTTAACATATATAAGAATATTTTTTAAATATAATTTAATTTTTTCCAGCTTTTATATATTATGTGAATTTTGAAAATGTAAACGATATTTCCTTGATAGATATCATAAAAAATTATTGTTACCACTAATATATTGGAACAGTTTAAACAATTGAATTCTTTTGAAAATTGTCTAGTTGCGTCTAACTATCAAGTACTTGCTTTAACATATATAAGAATATTTTTTAAATATAATTTAATTTTTTCCAGCTTTTATATATTATGTGAATTTTGAAAATGTAAACGATATTTCCTTGATAGATATCATAAAAAATTATTGTTACCACTAATATATTGGAACAGTTTAAACAATTGAATTCTTTTGAAAATTGGTATGTAAACTAGCTTCAGATGTGCAACAAAAATGGAAGTAATTATTTAATTAAATAGAAGACAAATATGAATGCTCGTATATTTCTATGTCTAAATTTTTCATAGATGCTATGTTCTATATTATTAATGATAGTATAAATCATGAAAGAGATGTCACAATCATAAAATTGAAGTGCAAATTTTAAACAGAAATTGTATATAGTAT